ATTCGGTCCTTCCGACGGTTAACTGTTGACAACACTAGTTTTATTGCATGGACCAGCAAATTGATAAAACAGTCTGATCTCTTTAGATTTCATATTCAGTATTTAAGTTATAAGTTATTTAGTCGTTCGTTCGTTATGGCCTGATTGAAAAAAATTGGCAATGAGTAGCTATAGAATCTGAAATTTTCTAATCATTTTTTTTGTTTTTAATCATGTGTAATATTCTGGTTGTAGGATCATAATCAAGGTTTTACTTTATCAATTGTTAAACTAAGTAAGACTATGAATTAGTTACTTCTAGTGTGTAGCGATATTTATGTGATAATAAATTACAAAGAATGTCTGTGCAATCATTATAAATTATCTCTTGAATATTGATAATGCGTTGCCAATTAGGTCATGACGTATTTTATGGCTGAATCTGTTCACATACATATATCTTATAATTTTACATTCAAATGTCTTGCTTAAATTTTGTTAGCTGTTTTTTTTTATTTTTCAATTTCGGTATTGTTTCTACATGTCTTGTATCTCCTTTATTTTATCAATCGATGCTTTTATAGACCAGTGACATTAACCATAAAATTTTATTTTCAATGCACCCACCTAACATACGGCTAAATCATATACCATTCGAAAGCACATCATCTGCACTACTGCCCGGTCGTCAAAAATTCGTATGGTGCAGTTTCTGTCAAATCACAACGAAAGGTCAAGGACGGACAACTTCTAATTTAACAAGAAGTCAGCATTTTTTGCATATTCTGTCTTCTGAATAATGATATTTTGTATGGACATATGGAAATCTGTTAGAGCAGATGTTAATAGTAACTTATCAAAAGCACTTTGAAATATTAATGTCGGATTTTGATAAATAGCGCTGTTTTCCAGAAATTCCTTTGAAAATGAGAAAAATGCATGAAAATCAAATTTTATGTCTGTGATTCAACTGTTATTCACCAAAAAACCAAATAACATATTTTATTTAGTGCTAAGGATGTTTTTGACATCATTAAATTACTGCAATTATGCTTCTTGTTAATTAAACAGCCAATTATAACAACCATGCAGTTGCCAAAATACCACCATCTGCAAGAAAATAGCTTTTCAGCTGTTCTTTGTTAAAACAATTTGTATGTAGACGATATTATGTTGAAAAACACAAATTTTAAAAGTGCAAAAATGTTTAAGGATAGAATACACAGAAAATTCGTGCATTTAGGGAAAAGTTTGGGAGGGAAACTTTGATAATTCAATATTTCAATATTTGTATGTTTTCTTGGTTGCTTATACATGTACTGTATCTTGCATTGAATGAGGAAGTGAAAACTATTATAAGCTACGCACTGAAATGTTCATCATGCCTGGCCAATATATTCAATCCTATCCAACTACGTAATTTCTTGTAAATAAATTGAGACTCTCGCAAGTATATTTACCTACATTAATTTTTGAATTGGAAAATCTAGCAATTCGCAATAACAATACATACATTTTCATTAATCAAATTTACTCCCTGAATAGTTTACATATACATACATTTTAATATAAAGATGATTGATTAATTGTTGGTGTTTGACGCAATTTTCGGTTTAGCACTTTTGGCTTCTAAAGTATTTTGCGGCGACAGTTTTAAATGGTTTAGGCCCATGGAATGCCCAAGGAACCACCGACCTTCGAAAGGAAAACTGGCAATCCCCATCAACAATACATTAGTTAGAGCTATTAGTATCAAGGACGAAGTTACTGTGTAGAAAAAAAATAAAATCACAAAAATACTGAACTCCGAGGAAAATTCAATCGGAATGTCCCTAATCACATGGCAAAATCAAATGACAAAACACATCAAACGAATGGACAACGACTGTCATATTCCTGACTTGGTACAGGCATTTTCAAATGTAGAAAATGGTGGATTGAACCTGGTTTTATAGCGCTAAACCTCTCACTTGTACGACAGTCTCATCAAATTCCGTTATATTTACAACGTATTTACAATGTAGGTCTCACAACACAAATATACAAATCAGCATTGATCACCTTTTGTAAAAGTAGGCAACCTCTAACAAAAAACAGCAGTGTTAATGTTGATGTTTACTTCAGCTAAATGTTACAAGTAAAGTTTCTTAATAGAAACAAAAATATAAATGCATTTGAACCACTTTTATTTCAAATTTAATTGGCCATGATTTTGCATTAAAATTTCAATGTAGATTTGCCACATAATACATATAATATTTTCATTTTAGGCATTTAAAAAAAAGAGCACGATCTACTATTTTAGTAGATCATCTATTAAGCATTGGTTGATCATTGGCATATTAAAGATAGTACATGTATATTAAGAATACATATGGTTAAAATGAAGTTATTTTATTCTAAAATATCTATACAATTGTTAGAAATGAAAAAATTGTGGTTGAATTTATCCAGTTGTTTTAATTGGTTTTATGTCATCTGATCTTAAATTATGTTCGTGGATATTTATTGTGCACTGAGCCCTCTGTTATTGATCTGACAGCGACGTTTTACGATTTTCTCACTTTATTTTCATATTTTTCGGTTCAAGTTTCTAATGGTGCGAAGATCTCACAACAATAATAAGTGATAAAAGTTGACATAAAAAAAACCGTACAAAATGTTATGTATAAGTGTTAAAAACATGGGTTAAAACAATCTGACTAAAATTATGAACAATCACGACTCGCCTGCTCGTATATCGCATGAGAATAACGAAATCAGAGAACTACATTTTAATAAGATTAGGGTTAACTTAATGAGATAGCTTGAAAGCAGGTATGTTCTGGTAAATTTAAAGCGATTACTGTTTTAGCGCTATTTGAATATGTCTATTATGAAACAAATCCCTTCACGTATAACCTCCATATGTGCACTTTAAACTTCCATAATTCTGCCAAGCAATGTCGAAGGAATATTGCTCATTACAAATTTTAGACTAACATATGGATATGTGAATGGAAAGAACAAAAGAAAAAAGGACGTAAGGACAAGATGATTCCTACATTTCCGCTATATCATATAAAGATGGATAGAGATGGAGAGAGAACTACGAGGTCTATCACAACTGTTTTCCAATCGTTTGATGTGTTTCAGCTTTTGGTTTTGATATGTGATAAGAGACTTTCTGTTTTGAAATTTCACTTGGAGTTAGGTAATTTATGTTGTTTTACTAACTTATTTTTTGCATCAATATCTGAGTTTTAAGTTCTGTTGTCTTTTTTCGCTCAGCTTTGATATTTATGGTTTTCTTTTCTTTGATTGAAAGAAGGGATAAAATAAAATGGAGGCAGTCTCAAACCATGGTCGAAGAAAAACAGATGACAGCATGACCATGGCGAAAACGTAAGACAGACAAACAAATCTTGTTAAAACACTATACCGAATTGTGTGAACAATACATAAATCAGTATGGTGATTACAGTTGTTCATGAAGGTTATTCAATCGTAATTAATCTGAATTATTAATTTTCAGTCATATTTAATAAAACAACTAAGAAAGTATATTATAATGGGTTAACATTAAAAGAAATTCGCCGAATTTGACATTGAAAAGCGCATGGTACAGACAGTTTTTTTTTCGAACATTGAACGAGCATAATCTTCGTAACATGTCTTTCCACATCGGGAAACAAATTTATTACCAAATATACTTCTTTTGTTCCTTAAAGTTCTTCTATAACCTTTTTTTTAAATATGATTGATCATTATCTGCCGATATTAGCAATATTATCTAGCAAAAAAAAGCTAAATGATCCCCATTTGCAGATGGTGTTTTTGGGGCGACTACAAAAGCTTCATTAGAAGGTTGCATCGTGACCTACATCATATTAATTGCAGTTTAAAATGATGAAAAAATTCCCTCGGTCCATAAACAATAAATCTTTCTATTTTTGACATACAAATATACAAATTTCAGAAAATATTTAGATTTAATTGCAATTTTATCATTTTAGGAAGTTTTTTTCAAGAAATGCAATTTTTTGTTTATATAGCGCAATCAACATTTAAGTTTGCACTTGATTTGAAATCATGGTAATTTGTTTTATAAGGTTTAGATCAATTTTAGGGAATAAAATGCTATACAAATACCTGAAAATGGCATTTTGTGTAATTATAGCAAACATTTGGAATGCTCAGTTTAGATCTTTGACCTTGATTTAACGAAAATTGCACCGTACGAATTATTGACGACCGGGCAAAATTGAAAGTACAGGTAATAAGCTTTCGAATGATATATAATATAGCCGTATGTTAGGTGGGTGCATTAAAGTCGTTAACTAAGCGTCTTTTTGAAAATTGTCACTCGCCTATTACTACAACATTTACCACTTTGTAAAGTTTTACGGTAGTAGAATATACACGTCTAATGGTTTATCTGCGGATATGCTGATCTATCACGGATTGATTGATTAATCCTTAGTTAACGTCTAGTGTAAAATATTAGAGGCATATTCTTGACGGAATTTATCACTTTACTTGACTCATCAACGTATTTCTACTTGTATCTTCAGGAGGTACATCAATTCCTGATTCACTATTGATACTCGCTGTGAAATTAGTATTGTTTCTACATGTCTTGTATCTCCTTTATTTTATCAATCGATGCTTTACCAAAAACATTTACCACTTTGTAAAGTTTTACGGTAGTAGAATATACACGTTTAATGGTTTATCTGCGGATTTGCTGATGTATCGCTCAATCCCGAATTTTCTTTGAAGCTTTGTGAGCTTTATGTCTTATCATTCTCGACGTTGATGCATTTGCATTGCAACTTCAAATATTTTGACTTCATTTATGAGAACTGAAATCATTCCTGAAAACGATCTGTCTACTAAGAAATAGTAAATATTCGATCTACAATATTAAAATGTAACTTGAAAGAGAAGGAAAATATCTTATTATCCGTATAGTTCAAGCAATACATATACATTTAAGACTATTTGAAGATTATTTACAGAACTGAAAAATAGTCTTGTACCTTCACAACGTGTGCCTGAATATCCTGTCTGACATGCACATGCATAAGTTCCATCCACACTGAAACATGTTCCCGAGTTTTGACAAGGACTACTTATGCATGGCGTTACTGAAATAGACAAAATACAGCAATTCTGAAAGATGAATACAAATGGACCAATGACTGAAAGTGACAAGGTACAACAGTAGGGAAGACTTATTTAATAGTCGGTGTACAACTTCAGTATATAAATTCATTATAAATACGAGGAACACACTGTTTACCCCAGACGCGCGTTTCTTCTACAAAAGACTCATCAGTGACGATTAAATCAAAAAAGTTAAAAAGGACAACGAAAGTACGCAGTTGGAAAACATTAAAGACCCAAAATTCCGACTGGTTTGCCAGATCAAGGCAAGATAATCTGTTCATGGGGTATGTGTGCGCACTTTTTATGAAGTTTCAAAAATCTTAGTTGAACACTGGAGGAAAAGTTAATTACCAAATCCCCACTTATGCCTATTCATCCCAGCAATCAACAGTTATCACCTAACTATAAGCCGGTTTTGCACTCGGTAGAAACTAATCCTAAATCCAACCGATTTTTATTGCTTGTTAGCTTATTTTTACTTCAAGTTTTTACTTTTTATATCTGCTGACAAAGATAATTAAAAATACGAGGTTTATATGTGGGATAAATAAGCTAATGTTTTACAGGGTGTTTGTTCTTGAGAAAGTACATCGTTATTATCATATCACAAATTATAATGTGAACTTTGATCGTTGCCGAAAGTACCAAATTGCATATTTCTATAACGACGTCCGTTAAAATGATAAATTTAATGTATATATGAAATTGTATTTTACATTTGATTTTTATATTTCATGGTGTTCTTACCTTCACATGAGTCTCCAAAATATCCCGCAGGGCAACTGCAGGTGAAGTTACTGCTTGCCACAGAGCAGTTACCGTTGTGAAGACATGGGTTGTTTGAACATGGTGTTACTGAATATAAAATCAATCGTTTTCAACAATAAAGAAACTGTCGACACATAAATATCTATCACTGTTTAACATGTAAACTATACAAAAGATTCAAAGTCAATGGACCATGACTGATGGACACAGTCAAATAATCGCAATGAAAATGAAATGCACCAATGATAAAACAACTGCCTACTAAATAACATTACTTGATCCTTTAAAACTAACCCAACAAAAACTTACACAATTGTTAAACAACTGACGGACGCCTTTTCATGTGCCGATACCGGAAATAGTGCGCTTTATTTTTGCTTCCGTAAACTTGATCGAGGATTGAAAATAACCATATCGTTGATTTATATTTAACAAAAAATATTAAACATGGACCACATGTTTTTGTTACTGAAGTCGATACCTCTGCCGATGGACTGTAAATCTACGATAATTTTGTTAAGGAAAGAAGAATAATGTTTAGACCGCTAGTTGGTCTAATTGATATTCATCGAAAAACCATTTTTTGAATTATTGCGGAATTTATTTTGTTAAGAATTTGTTGTGTGTGTGTACCAGCAATAAAGGGTTCATGGGTTCATGCTCATAAAATAAAATATAGAAGGAAATGCTATCTCCATTTTTCAACAAATTCAATTTTTGAAAGGGAAATTGAAAACAATGAGCAATTCCGTCTGCTGGTATTTTTTATTTTATTTGAGCTGGTATCTTAGATTGCTTATGAAACGGCATTATCGATTGCAAATAAAGGATTGCTTTAAATCAAATAAATGACCGTGGACTGTGGAGTGTTTTTGTAACAACATGATCTACGACAAGAAACAAATCATTAATTGATTCATACTAAATCATTTTTTGTAAATAATACCCATTAGATTGACCAACTAGCATTCACCTTCTTTCTATACGTCGGCGTGGTGTCTTACGTTGTGACGAATCACTTTTATTAACAATATTAAAACAACAAAATATTGTTAATGTGTTCTATATAACAGAAAAAAAACAACAACAAACATACTACATACATACAAACAAATGAAGGAATCTAGACTCCAATCTGGTGTAATTTAAGTTGGCATCAGTGACCATTTCATGATGCTCCCGGTATTGTTCCTTTGGAGTTGGTGCGATTCCCTCAGTTCATGTCTTTTACCTTGATTTTTCTCTTCCTTATCGATTTAAAAGATTTTAACATCGGTAACCCACTGTCGCTTTACTTTATATAACATATTGAAAGAGAAAAACAAGTAAAGAACACACTGGTAAACGAAGCACAGTTCGAGTTAGATCATTGGATCACTAAATATATAGCTATTCACAAAGAGAGTTCAAAGAAAAACTCGAACAAGTTGACTGGTCGGAACTCAAGTTATGGGGAAACGTCATCCAAGCATGGGACATTTTTTGGAAAACAGATTAATTCAACTCTAAATTCTCTAGCCCCGTAAATTATAAAATTAAAGCAAAATTCCGGACCATGAATTACATCAGATATTAAGATTCTATTCGAAAACGAGACACTTTCTAAATATTTTACAAAAAAACAGAATGTAAACATTTATTTTTGAAATTAAAAAAGGCAATATAAGGATCTATATATATATATATATCTAACAAAATTGAAGCAAATAAAAAAGCTAAAAAAAAAATTAAAAAACACGGTATAAATTTCGTGCATTCAAAGCGCTTTTCTGGTATTTATCAGGAACGTTCAATGCAGAATATTTGAAAGCCAAATTTGTATAAGAACCGAAACAATTAAAGACCAAAAAATATAGCCAAATCCACCTAAGGTCAAATTTCCCTGAGGGAGTTGAAACCTTAGTTTCTTTATAATTTAAGGACAATATTAGAAAGGTTTGTTATAAATCATGTCAGTACCGAAGCACTACTCAGCTGATGATACCCTCGTGGCATGATAGTCCCCCATCAGAGGTATCGACCAAGTGCTGTAAAAAATGAAATCAACACGTTATAAATTTCATGCGTCCAAAGCGCTTTCTTGATTAACCTTTAAAATATATGAGATATAAAAATAAGAAGATGAGGTATGATTGTTTTATCATTTATATAGATGAAACGCGATTTTAATGATATTTTGTCTTCCTCAAATATATTTTGGTTTAACTAACCTTCACAAAATTTTCCAGAATATCCATCTGAACAGTTGCAATTGAAGCTGTTTCCTGATATAGAACTACTGCCATCATGAAAACAAGGCTGGTTACTGCAAATAACATTAAAATCAAATTTCAGCCTAGTATCTTGTTTAAATGTCTTTTTTCAAGTAAGAAAATTCTCAGGTCATATGAATATGTGTCCTACAATCCTACCTTTGATTTTTTGTATTCCTAATACCATATCATATAAACTGTTTTATAGTTCCTTTGTTTGATACGTAAGAAAATATAGAACATTCGTTTGATACGTACGAAAAAAGGTTATAAACCCTCTGATGTAAGTACATCTCACTCCATCTCAAGATTCCCAGTATTCTTTATTTACCCACAGTAAAGTTGTTTTTTTTCCGTATGAATGAGTTGGCTTGCTATACAGAGTAAAATGGGTGTCTGCTTTAAAAATGTACGCTTTTGATGATTTCTTCGTCTTAAATTATTGTCAAGTCAATTTTTCGCTTAATACTTATTAACTGGCGAATGTACTGATATCAAACTAAGGCTTATAACTTTGCGAGGATGGTCAGTCACTTAGAACTGTACTGGATTTACCGTTTGTCGTTGTAAATAACGTTCTACATGGTCTCGCTCCATTCGATTCATTTAGTTTTTGCTCGTCCTCTAAATCGATTTATGAAATTTGAACATTAGTAAACTACTGTTACCGTTATCGATCTGTGATAATGATGACATGCATTTAATTTACCAATTATATGAAACGAAAATAAAATAGATGCAACAAAAAAGTCCACACAAATAAGCAATACCTTCACATAATGATCCAGAGATACCACTTCTACATGTACATAGACAGGTTGTTTCTGGTACAGATTTAGTTCCTCCATTTTGACAAAAAAAACCGTCACACGGATCAGCTGTAAAATTAAATTCGATATATACAATTTAAAGATCATAAACCTACTATGAAATATAGGACATATCGGAGCATTGTTCTGATTTTATGTGTAATTGAACTGAATTAAATTTTAAATAAACTTAGACACACACGCAAAATCTAATGGCTGCGGTCGTTTAAGTATCTTTGTGATATGGGCCTTTTTTTTTTTTAGAGTGGTTGAAAAAGTATTTGTAAACCAAAATCGGACCAGTGAAAGAATTTGAAATTGAAAATTGTTAAAAAAGATCAGCCACTGAAACAATAGGGACCAAAAATTATTTCAGGTAAAACATGTGTTACTATGAGAACCAGTACAGTAAAAAGCGAACCCGGTGCGTGTGTCTTATGCAAAACCATATACATAAATGGTATCAATCTACATCGAAATAACGATGAGCTAAGAAACTAAATCATCAAGAGGATTAAAATACAAACTTGGGTAGATATTCGGATGATCACTTTAACATGTTTAATTAGTAAATGAAGTGAGACTGTAACCTTCAATTTGTACCTTCACACAATCTTCCGGAATATCCCTTTGGACAAACACATACATAGCTGCCATTAATATTTAAACATGATCCAGAATTTATACACGGCCTACCGCTGCATGGTGTCACTGGAGTGAAATAGAAAAATACACTATTAATGTAATGCGTAGTTGTCTTCATAATTGTTTTCATATTCAAATATATATTTATTTTACGTTTTAGCCAGATAAAATATAATGTACTATAATTTGTACCTTGTTTTAGGTTATTTACTGGAATATTCGTAATTAACTGCCTTGATATTGCTTCCGTTTCATATTGAAAATATAACCTGGTAAGAAAAATATTATACGTTCCTTGAAATGTATTTTTGTATTGTTCACATTTTTTTCCAAAAGGAAATGTGGAAATCCGACGTAACCCTTTATTAACGTATCGGAATTAAAGAATGATACATCTGTATGGGTGATCAGGTATTGTTTATTTAGGTACTGTTCTCACTTTATATGAAAAGTAAAGAACAACAGTATGAGTTTATTGAACATTTTCTAAGAAAGTTTAAAGCATTGGTATTGATACTACCGTGTTTTTCCATTACGCCTTTTCTTAATCAAATATATTCTGTTAAACTGGTATACCTTCACATGAGTTGCCAGAATATCCCTTTGAACAATTGCAACTGTAGCTGTTTCCTGATAAAGAACATTTACTCTCATGAAAACAAGGATGGCTACTGCATGGGGTAACTGCAAACAACATAATGAAATAAAGTTAAAGCCTCTCATTTTGCTGAAATATTTCTATAAGATTCCTAGAGTTAAATCTTTTATATTGCACCATATTAATTGGTATAACAATCTTCTGATTAATACATAAGAAAAGTCAACCTTCTTGTGTGAATTATATACATTTTTTGTCTACATAAACAGGTATCTTCTTTCCGTATGATTTTGTTGTCTTGATTAAAGGAGTCAAAAAGGTATCTGAATATGAACAAATATCCATTTGAGTGGTTTGACACCTTAAATTATGACCAGTAAAGCTCAATTATTATTTTCATTAACTGGTAAACGTTCTTATATTAAATACGTCTAATAAATTTGACAGAATTGATCTTGATGAATTGTACTATTTACTTCGTCAATCGTTCAAAGCTATGTTTTGATCTGTTATACTGATTGAAGGCATTTTAAAACCATTGTATACATCAGAAATGGTAGCGACTATGAGCAACAGATGCGTCCACATAAAAAAACAAAAAACCTTCACATGATGATCCAGAGAAGCCACTTCTACATGTACACTGACAGATTGTTCCTAATACAGTTTTTGTTCCTCCATTGTCACAAGGAAAACCGTCAAACGGATTAACTGTAAAATTATTTCAGATATCAAAGAGTGCACAATTCCATGCGTAGTAATATTCCTATCGTTATATGAACTGTTTTAATGAAATTCTAAAAAAAACTAAGATAAATGTTTCCACACAAAAATATGTAGTCGCGGAGATGGGTTTCTTTGTCCTTGCCACACGGGATGCAAATTTGGTTAAATATAAGATCAGGACAAAGTAAAACGTTGAAATTGTAAATTGATGCTTATGTGTTTTGCACTGATTGAAAAAAGCATAAATTTGCAGGCTATGAGTCGACAGTAAATTTCTGATACGACATGTGTTCAGTTGTATTGTAACCATGTGTATTAGCACATTAAAATCTTAACGTTTCTGTCTTATACAAAACTAAATAATTTATTATTTTGTTTCATCTTCAACAAAATAACTCCTTGCATAATACTCCGGTTTTTGAGTTAACTCTGGTTATAACTTTATTGACATAGAGATTGCAATAATCTTTAAAAAACTGTTTCATTAATATGATTTAAATCAAACCAAACCTCGATAAATATTGTCTTTTATTATTAATTTAGTACACAAAGTCATAGAATGATCAGTAATTTGTACCTTCACATAATTTGCCAGAATATCCAATTGAACAAACACAAACATAGCTGCCATTAACATTTAAGCACGATCCAGAATTTACACAAGGACTACTGGTGCATGGTGTCACTAGATTAGAATTGAAAAATCAATTATTTAGATTTTTGAGTAGTTATTTTCATATTTTTATATAGATTTATCAGAACTATGTTTCGAGCAAATTCAACAATCATTCATAATAATAAGTACATTGTATAGGAAATTATGTGAAAGTTACTAATGTATCGTTGTGATAATGATACGTTCTTAAAAATGAAAATGTAACCCACATGGATACAGTAAAATTATTCTACATTCTTTGAATTGAATTTTTATAGTTCTATTTTTATTCTCCACTACATTAGATATAAGCCTGAATATAGGACTACCGGCATTAAGTAAATGCAAATGTGATGGGTGACTGGACATTTGTTTTACAGAAGAACTGTCGTCTTATCCTTATCAGAATACAAATTTCATTCCCAGATTATTACGTCGCTTCTGAAGAAAGTCTAACGCAGTAAATAAAGGCAACAGTAGTATACCGCTGTTCAATAGTCATAAATCGATTAAGCAAAAACAAATCCAGGTCACAAACCAAAACCGGGGGAAACACATCAACTATAAGAGGAAAACAATGGAACAACAGAAACACTCAACTGCTACAAAAACAAATGCCAACATACATAGAAACGGACTATTTGATAACAACTGTCATATTCCTGACTTGGTACAGGACATTTGAACAAAAAATGGTGGGTTGAACCTGTTTTTTTGGCTAGACAAACCTCCCACTTATATGGCAATGTAAAAAATACCGCTAAAATGACAACATTACGTAACAGGAATACAGTACAAATAAACGAACACTCAGGACAAAAATATTACAAAAATAAATAATATAATAATACATTACAACATGTAAACCACAGAATAACAACGGACACCTCCTATTAATTTACGACAGTACACCAGTACACCACAATAGAATTATTAACTGTGCGTCACACGAATGTATCTATGTCACAACAAGTGACATCACAGGTAAATTTCTAAAAATTGAATATAAAATTGGGATTAAGTTTGTAATGGTGTTATTTTATGTATTTCTTTACCATTACAAGAATATTAAGACAGAATTGTGTTAGTAATGGTGTAATTATTTGTATTTTCTAACCATGTAGGCTTTTCTTCTAAATCAAAACTGTGTAAAAACAAATACATCCTCTGCTTTAAACTAAAAATCAAAAAAATGAACTAGCTCATAAATTATCTTAACTTTTACATACATATAGAAAATAAAAATAGATTTCAAACCACAAACAATTAGACATAACACAATATCAAACCAGACTTTCAAAAGAAACATCATAACTAAACACATGAATGTTTGATGTATAAATACCAAGACACGTCTAATAGCAATGCGAATTCACACTCGGCAAAACAGTCATATTCGGGAATAGGTCACGTTCGGTACTTAGCAGACCAGACGACGTAGATAGTAAACCACAATCTAAGACGTGGTAAAAATGTCGTTAGTTAGTGTAGATACAGACACATCGTATAGATCAACCAATTCGTGATGTAGTCCATTAAATTTACGGAGTGTCATTTTTAATCTTTCCTCCTCATAACTCTGTTGGAGCAGTTTCTGCGTAAGGAGCACAATCTTGTATATGAAGTCCGTATAGTGTGAACACGCACGTATCAAATGAGACATGTAAACACCATACGATTGGGCAGAGTGTATGTTACTGCTGCGAAATGGGAAATTGTTAATTGGAAAGTTGAAATCGTCCCATTTGTCATAGATGTAAGTGTGAAGTCATCCATCTGTGTCAATATTGACAAAAAAAAAAAGCAAGGTATGAAGCAGTCTTTCTAGTATCAGAAGTATCCTTGATTTCAAGTTCACTTGGATATATAAGATGTAAGTACTGACTGAAATATGGGTTATTCAGTGATAGGACATCATCAATACATCTAATAGTAAAATTAAAGAATTTCGCAAGGTGCTTTATCCTTTTGTCTTTTAGAAGATTCTGAATGAATTCTGCTTCATACGAGTACAAAACAAAACCGGCCAGTAGGGGTGCACATTTAGTACCCACTGGAATACCGACTGTCTGTTGAAATAGCAATCCTCCGATCTCAACAAATATATTGTCGGTCAAAAAGTCTAGCATTTTGATAAGATCATCTTCAGTATATTTTCTGATAGAATCAGTGGGGTTCTTCACAAAATAAGAATTATTTTAACCCAAAACAAGAAATCTATATCTACGATTTCCATTTTTATACAAAAAGCTCTGTCAAATGAGATTGTGAAGTCGATCTTTCAATTGAGCATGATGAATAGTAGTGTAAAGCGTAAAAAAATCTAAATTTTTAATGTTGCTGCAAAATTGCAGAGATTGTGATCTAAGATTAAGCAGTAGATCTTTAGCATTTTTAAGAATCCACATCTGATTGACACCACTGGTTGAATATATCTCATCAAAATATTTTTGAAAACTATCTATTACTATAGAAAGAATAGTAGTCAGCACTTTAGAAAGATGTTTAGTTAAACATTTTGATGATCCTTCTATGTATCGTTCTTTATCAGGAGTTTTGTAATGTTTTGGTATCCAGTATATTGACGGTAGATTTTTCTTCGTTTTCTTTGATGCTAATAACAAGAGAAAAAAGGACAGATTTGTGATTTTGTAAAATTTCATTCTTTGTCAATGATGTTAAAGAATATGTAGTAACATAGATGAAATCGTGCTTCCAGTCATGAGTTTCATTTTCATATATATTTTATTAAACTTACCTTCACATGAGTTGCCCAAAAAATCCCTTCAAACAATTGCAGCTATATCTGTTTCCTGATATTGAACAATTATCATCATGAAAACAAGGTTGGCTGGTACAAAGTGTTACTGCAAACAAGTTTAAAAATAAATGTCAGCCTCCACTGTTGCTTAAATAATTCTTTTAGTGGGAACTTCTAAAATATTGTTTACATGATTTCTAGAATCAATTATTTTTTTAATATATCATTTATATTTCATCGTATACATTGGTGTATATCGTTCAGCTACTTGATACCAAAGAAAAGAGACAATAACCGTCTAGTGTAAATTAAGGCGAAAGTAGCTATGCTCTTCAACATCGTATTCTATTTGGCCTTTTAATGTTTCTTTGATTCGTGGGTTACTGATAAGACTTTTGTAGACAAAACGAGGGCCTGGCGTAAACAATTATAATCCGCAATGTTCGAATCGCGTAAATCAATTGATATAAACCTACCTTCAAAATAAGTATTCAGTTATGTATTTTTCCTATCTACTACATGATGTCAAATTTGCTCAATAATCATCTCCATGGACTGTTTAATGTACTAATATGAAAAACAAGTCTTATTACTATAAAATGATTTTCTGGATGCTGAGTTTAAAAAAGAAATCGCTGATCGTTGTAGATAGCGGTGTGATATGTTATACTGGTCAGAGACATTTTTTAACAATAATATACCACGAAAATAAAATGGTAGCATCAAAAACGTCCACACATGGAAAAACATACTTTCACATAATGATCCAGAGAAGCCACTTCTACATGTACACTGACAGGCTGTTCCTGACACTGTTTTTGTTCCTCCATTTCCACAGGGAAAACCGTCACACGGATCAACTGTAAAATTTATTTAGATATAAAACAGGGTGCTCAGTCTCATGTAAAATTATATTCTGATCACTATTTTTTTTATTGTAACTTTAAATTTTAGACCAGACCAATTGTAGAGTTTGAAGTTATAAATTACTGCTTTTGTAAAACAAAAATGTTTAATTTGTGTCAGCGTTCTGGTGCGATTTGCTTCATTTCCGTCGATGTTTTTTTGTAGACTTGTACCTGATTAAAGTAAGTTTCTTATTTTAATGGATAACAAAAAAGCATTTAATAAAATTGTTATGAACTGGCTTTTTCTATATAAGTCCTGGAAAAAATACTCGATCAGTTATGTTGACCGTCGCCTCTTCAAGTTTCGAGGCCAATACAGTTAACCTTGAATTTACAAAGGCAAATTAAAAACAGCAAGTTAATAACCCTTACATTAGTATTGTCACCATGTGAACATACATTTAAAAACTAACAACGCATATTTGTCTTATACAAAACTATAGATATTTGATGATATTGAAATTGTATCTTCCTTAATAAAAAAAAAACTCTTGCAATATATACAAATTCCGAATAACATATTGATCTGACAAAAAGTAACAAAGTTCAAAATATAGCCGACTGTAGTTGAAGATCTTGAAGGCCGTACTGGTGCCTATAATTGCATATACACACTTCATTTGAACTTTGGTGGATAGTTGTCTCATTGGCAATCATACCACATCTCTTTATTTTATATTCAAGAATATCCGTGTTAACGCTACATTTGTTACTGTGATCAGAACTTTATTGATAGAGAATTGCGATTATTTAAGATAATATAATTTATATCAAAACAAAATGTAGGAAGATATTGTCTCTTAGGCTAATTATATTAAATAAAACTATAGTGACAATAATGATCAGTAATTTATACCTTCACATAATTTGCCAGAGTATCCTTTGGGACACGCACATAGATAGCTGCCATAGACATTTAAGCATGATCCAGAATTTACACACGGACTACTGCTACATGGTATCACTGAAGCAAGATGGAAAAACAATATGAATTTATTAAGTTTGCACATTTTAATATAGATTCATTTTATTTATAATAACAATTTTACAGCAAAAAATAAAATGACAAAAAAACCGAACCCCGAGGAAAATTCATAACTGAAAGTCCCTATCAAGTAAGGTAATAAGCAAAGTAAAAAATAACTTATTATGATTTGTTCGTAGGTTTGGGTATCATAATGAATATTCGTATTAAATTACTTGACATTGACACTGTCTTCCTTTTTCGCAATTAACCCGCTCAGGAAAAAATACCATACATTCTTTACATTGTTCAAATTGCTTTCAAACATCTATTTAAAAATCCTCATATACTTCATTTACGTTTCAAACTTACCGGAAATAACGTTTTATGCACCTGTAAAGGACGATTTAATATTTTCTTTTTGATATGAACTGTTTTTTTTCGGTTCTCAAAAATGTCGTAAACATTTATACAGATGAAACCGTGTTCTCATATAATGCCATTTTTTTCAGATATATTATGATTATATTACCTTCACATAGTTTACCCGAATATCCCTTTGAACAACTGCAACTGAAGCTGTGTCCTGAGATAGAACAACTACTATCGTGAAAACAAGGCTGGTTACTACAAGGTGTTACTGCAGATAAAATAAGAATTAAAACGAACCTTTCCTTATACTTAAATATTTCATTGAGTTTCAATTTTTTTCAGATTTATATATCAATTTTAGGCCAGTTGATGTACTTAAATTTTAAAAAGATGCACACCACCTATTCTTGGTCCTCATTCCTATCCACCTTAATTTTTTCACTTCCAAACATTCTATGAAACGGGATCAATATACCGTTATTTAAACATCAGACCGTAAAGGATACCGGAACTTTAGATACATAAATCCAGGTACTTCATATCGGAGAAACAGACACTATATATTCCCCTTAATTTTAGAATTCATTCATTAATTTTTGTATTATTCAAAATTATCAGTCAATATGTGTTCTACAAGGATCACCAGGATTACCTTTCATTTGATATCTTAATTACTAAAACGTAATCTACATAGTTTGACATTTACACCTGTGCGTAGGAACAGTTTTGTTTTAAATATGTACTATCTTCCAGTATGTTCTTTTTTGACATGGCCCGATTTGGTGGTGTTACATCTTACAAAGTCTATTCGAATCATTTTGCAAAGAATTCCGCTCAAACCGGTGTTGGGGGCGTCGTCTAAAACTTGCAGTGAGATGAGATTTTTTTTTGTTTCGTGTTGAAAGCCTCACTGTGACTTTGAGATGAAGAACAGCAATTAAAGCGCTGTCCAGTTGCTTTTTGTGTGTTTTTGCTGTGCATGTTCTGATTTTGTGTCATGGATAGATACATCATATCCTTTGGTTTTCTATTATAATTCATAAAATAAAACGTTGTTCTATGTATCATAAATATTACATCATGTGAATTGGAAAAAAAATAATGCGATATAGTTTAACGATGTTTAAATCTCGTCAATCGGATAAGAGGTTAACATTAACCAAGGGAATCGCATGAACTCCAAAAGAAATTTTTGATATCGTTTTTTGTTTAAAACTTGAGAAAAAGACAAGCAACCCTCTTGTATAGACCATGTCATCAACGTTTGTATTTCATATTTTTACTACATTTACATTTATTTTCTTTCCGTTGGAATTGGTCGCATTGCTTAAACTAGTAAAATGGGTGATCTGATTAAAAGAAGTATGTTCTTTTTGATATACAGTTTTAATGTTTATTACCTTAGATAATTTCCAATTCAAATTAGATCAATTTACATTTCGATTAATTGGTTAATTTACTAATGTTAAAGTAAGACTTTTTACTATGAATCGATTAAATGTCTTGTAATTATATTATATACATCGTCCATTTATGAATAATAGCTTTTTTTGTTATACATGTACTGATTTAAGTCATTTATAAATAAAGGCAACAGTAGTATACCGCTGTTTGAAAACTCATAAATCGATAGAGATAAAAACAAATCCGGGTTACAAACTAAAACTGAGGGAAACGCATCAAATATAAGAGGAGAACAACGACACAACAAAAACACAACATTTAAATGTAACACACACAGAAACGAACTAAAATATAAACAATTGCATACAACGAAAATGAAACAGCATGAGCAACAGAATCGTCAATATAAAAAAAACAGAAATATTTTCACATGATGATCCAGCGTAACCACTTCTACATGTACATTGACACTTTGTTTCTAATACTGTTTTGGTTCCTCCATTATCACAAGGAAAACCGTCACATGGACCAACTGTAAAATTATTTCAGATATCAAAGAGTTCACAAGCCCATGTGAAATAATATCATTATATGAACTATCTTAATGATATCTACAAAAACTTAGATAAATGTTTCCACTCAAAAATACGCAGTCGCGGAGATCGTTTTCCGCCTTTCTGTTTGATAAGGTCCTTACCACACGGGATGCATTTGTTGGTTAAATATAAGATCAGGACAAAGAAAAACCATGAAATTGTAAATTGATCTTATGTGTTTTGTATCATTGATGAAAATCAAAGATTTGCAGGCTATGAGTGGACACTAAATTTGCAGGCTATGAGTCGACACTTAATTTCAGATACGACAGGTGTTCAGTTGTATTGTTTCCATGTGTATAAACACATTAAAAAGCCATCTTGACGTGTCTGTCTAATACAGCTCTAAATAATTTATTATTTTGTTTCATCTTCATCAAAAAAACTCCTTGTATAATACTTTTGGTTTTTGAGTTAACTCTGATTAGAACTTTATTTACATATAAATTGCAATTCTCTTTTAAAAATTGTTTCATCAATATGATTTAAATCAAATGAAACCTTGAAAGATAATGTCCTTTTTTATTATTTTTATAGATAAAGTGATAGTAATGATCAATTATTTGTACCTTTACATAATTTGCCAGAATATCCATCTGAACAAACACATACATAGCTGTCATTAACATTTAAGCATGATCCAGAATTGACACAAGGACTATTGCTGCATGGTGTCACTAGAGCAAAATCGAAAAATCATATATTTAGATTTTTAAGTAGTTATTTTCATATAGAGTTATCAGAGCTATGTATTGGCAAATACAGCATTATTCATAATGATTAGAACATTGCATATTAGGAAAGTATGTTAAAATTCATAATGTATCGTTGTGATAATGATACGGTCTCCAAATTAAAAATGTAACCTACATGCATATAGTAAAATTATTCTACATTCTTTGAATTGAAATTTTATTGTTCAATTGTTCATCTTCACTACGTTAGATATAAATCTGAGGTATACTTCGTTTTAATATAGCGGAAATAAGTCGAATGCAGTTCGTAAAGGATGACTGGACATTTGTTTTTCACTTAATCTTTCACCAGAATAAAAATTTCATCTCCAGTTTATTACATTGCTTCTGAAAAAAGTCTAACAGTATTAACATAGATAGAATCGCGCTTCCAGTTATGAGTTTTATTTACCTTCACAGAATGATCCGGAGAATACTCTTCTACATGTACACTGGCAGGTTGCTCCTGATACAGTTTTTGTTCCTCCATTGTCACAAACAAACCCGTCACATGGATCAACTGAGAAATTATTCCAGATATCAAAGGGTGCACAATTTCATGAGAAATAATATTCCTATCGTTATGTAATTATTTTTATTGCAATACTAATTAGACACAAGATTCCACACCAAAATATATGATTTCAGAGATTGTATTGGTTGCTTTTTGATAGGGTTCCTGTCTCAAGTGGATGGGGTTGTTTGTTAAATCCAAGATTAGGACAAAGAAATATTTTTAAATTGTAAATTGCTGCTAATTTGCTTTGTACTCTTTAGATTAAGAGCAACGATTTGTAGCAAATGAGTCGCCATTATATTTCAGATAAGACATGTGTTCAGTGTTATTGAAACCTGTGGATTAGCATATTAAAAAGCTAGCTTAACGTGTCTGTCTACTACAAAAGTAAACAAATTCTTATTATCTTGTTTCATCTTCAATAAAATAACTTCTTGCATAACATACAAATGGTGTTTCAATACTGAATGATATGAAGGAAATTGACAAAATTTCCAGCATTTGTCTTTAAGCGGTAACTGTGACCAGAACATTATTGACATAGAAATTGCAGTAACTTTATGAAAATCTGTGTCATCAATTTTATTTTTATCAAACAAATCCTTAATAGTTATTTTCTTTTATAATTAATAAACAGAATAAAGATCAAGAATTTGTACCTTCACATAATTTTCCAGAATATCCAATTGAACAAACACATACATAGCTGCCATTAACATTTAAGCATGATCCAGAATGTACACAAGGACTACTGCTACATGGTGTCACTAGAGCAAAATTGAAAAATTATTTATTTAGATTTTTAAATAGTAATATTCATATTTTCATAAAGATTTACTTTATTTATCAGAATTGCATGTACTTATCGGACAAATCAAACTTAATTCATGATGATAAGAAAATTGCATTGGAAAGTATGTGAAAATTCAAAGTGTATCGCTGTGATAATGATACGGTCCAGATTGAAAATGTAACCTACATGTATACAGTAAAGTAATTACACATTCTTTAATTGAATTTTTATTGTTCAATTTTTCTTCCTCACTACATAAGATATAAACCTGACGTATACTGCGTTTAAATATAGGACCACCGGCATTAATTAGATGTAAACGTGATGGGTGACTGGACATGTCTTTTCAATTAATCCTTTATCAGAATACAAATTTTATCTCCAGTATATTACATCGCTCCTGCTTACTCTTCCGGATCACCTGAGATCCTCCAGTTTTTGGTAGAGTTCGTGCTTCTCAATCTTTTCTTTTCTATGTTGTGTTTTGTGTACTGTTTTGTGTACTGCTGTTTGTCTGTTGGTCTTTTTTCTGTTTTAGCAATGGCGTTGTCAGATTATTTTTAACTTATGAGTTTGAATGTCCCTTTGGTATCGTTCGCCTCTCTTTTCTAAAGAAAGTCTAAAACAGTAACAAAAATGAAATCGTGCTTCAAGTTATGAGGCTTATTTTCATATATATTTTGGTAAACTTACCTTCACATGAATTACCCGAAAATCCCTTTGAACAATTGCAGCTTTAGCTGTTTCCTGATATAGAACAACTACCATCATATAAACAAGGTTGGCTGGTGCAAGGTGTTACTGCAAACAACTTTAAAAAATAAATATCAGCCTCCATTGTTGCTTTGATAATTCCTTCAGTGGGAACTTTTTTAAATATTGTTTATATGATTTCTAGAATCAAATTTTGTTCAATATATTTCATCGTATACATTGGTGTATATCGTTTTACTACTCGATATTAAAGAAAAGAAACAATAACCCTCAGGTATAATTTAAGATGAAAGTAGTATGTTCTTCAACTTCGTATTTTATTTGGCCTTTTAATGTTTCTTTAATTCGTCGGTCACCAATGAGTCTTTCGTAAACGAAACTCACGTCTGGCGTAAACAATTATAATCCTCAATAATTGAATCGCGTAAATCGGAAAAAAAAATTCAAAACGGAAAATCCCTTATCAATGGGAAACATCAATAGATCAAACTCATCAAACTTAATATTACCCTAGCCTAAAAAACGTATTCAGTTTTTTATTTTTCTTACATATGCAAGTATTTTCAATCCGTAGGAATCGGTTGCCTTCCTTTATGGAAAAAATTACTATAAGAAATATACCGTTATAATGGCAGACTACATTATATCAAATTTGCTCAATACTCATCTCCATTGACTGTTTAAAGTACTAATATGAAAGTAAGTCTGATGACTGTAAAATGCTAGCATTTAAAACGTCCACACAAGGAATAACATACTTTCACATGATGATCCAGAGAATCCACTTCTACATGTACACTGCAGGCTTTTCCTGACACTTTTTTTGTTCCTCCATTTCCACAGGGAAAATCGTCACACGGATCAACTGTGAAATTTATTTAGATATATATAACGGCGTGCTCAACTTCATGTGAAATAATATTCTTATCACTATTTTATTTTATTGTAAGTTTAATTTTAGACCAGACCAAAGGTAGAGTTTGAAATTGTAAATTGCTGCTTTTGTAATTTGGAAAGGTTTAATTTGTGTCCACGTTCCTGTGCGATTTGCTTCTTTCCCATCGATGCTTTTTTGTAGACTTGCACCTGATTAAAGTAAGTTTCTTACTTTAATAGAATAACAAAAAATTATTTAATAAAATTGTTATAAACTGGCTTTTTCTGTATAAGTCCTGGAATAGATATTCGATCAGTTATGTTGACCGTCGACTCTTCAAGTCTCGAGGCCAATACAGTTAACCTTGAATTTACAAAGGCAAATTAAAAACAGCAAGTTGATAACACTTACTTTAGTATTGTCACCATGTGAACTGGTACATTTAAAAACTTACTAAGCGTATTTGTCTTATATAAAACTATAAATAATTGATGATATTTAAATCTTATCTTTGAATATCCCTTTGGTATTTTTCGCCTCTCTTTTAATAACACTCTAGGAATATCTTCAAATGCCGTTTAATAACGTATTGATCTGACAGATATCAACAAAGTTCAATATATAGCCGACTAGAAAGTATAGGTTCTTCTCATTGTTCAAGGCCGTACGGTTGCCTATAATTGCTTACATCCACTTCATTTGCCCTTTGCTGGATAATTGTCCCAATGGCAATCATACAACAACTCCTTATTTTCATATTTATGAATATCTGTGTTAATGCTACATTGTTAACTGTGATCAGAACTTTATTGACAGAGAAAGTGCGATTATCTAAGATAATATGATTTATATCAAACAAAATTTGGGAAGATATTGTCTCATATGCTAATTCTATTATATAAAGTGTCAATAAGGATCAGTAATGTGTACCTTCACATAATTTGCCAGAGTATCCTTTAGGACAAACACAAAGATAGCTGCCATTGACATTTAAGCATGATCCAGAATTCACACACGGACTACTGCTGCATGGTGTCACTGGAACAAGATAGACAAACATCTAAATATATTATGTAGTAGTTTTCACATTTTAATATAGATTTATTTTATTGAGAACAATTGTATAGTAAAGTTGAACATAACGTATTGTGAATTGTTCGGGTATAATAATGAATTTTCATTATTAATTGACTTGATATTGAAATTGTCATCCTATTGACAATACAAATCGCTCAGGAAATACCATACATTTTTCTAAATATTTTTTCATTGTTCAAATTGCTTTTAAACAGCTATTTAAAAGTCCTCATATACTTCATTTACGTTTCATACTTACCGGAATAACGTACAATGCACCTGTAATGGGCGATATGATATTTTCTTTTTAATATGAAGTCAAAAAAAAAATCACAATCAGATAACAAAATCGATTCTCAAAAATGTTGTAAACGTTTATGTAGATTAAATCGTGTTCTTAAATGATGCAATTTATTCCTCAAATATATTATGATTAACTGACCTTCACATAGTTTACCCGAAAATTCCTTTGAACAATTGCAACTGAATCTGTGTCCTGATATAGAACAACTACCATCGTGAAAACATGGCTGGTTGCTACAAGGTGTTACTGCAAATAACATAAAAAATCAAATCAGCCTCTTTTTTTACTTAAATATTTCTTTGAACTTCAGTTTTTCAGATCGATATAATTCATAGAATCAAAAGTTTTTCTATGTATCATAAATATTACATCAGCTGAATTGGAATTAATTAATGCGTATGTAATTTACCGATGTTTAAATCTCGTCATTCCAATAAGAGGTAACAAACATATTATTATTGTTATATACATATACACATTCATGGATCTACAATCTGTCGATACCTGTATCTTGGCATTGCACAAGGTCATGTTTTTCTCCGACTATTTATGACGTCTTTACACTAAATCCATTGGATGTTGGATGTGAACGGATTGATAATTTAGTTATAGATGCATGATTTTTTTAATTAGTTGTTAGTGGCTTTGAACTAGCTGTCAATAACTGCGAGTACTCTCAGATCTGTACTTAGTATCTTTTTGTTGTTTGGATGTACAAGTACCCGGCCACGTCCACTTGTATTTGTAGTATTTGTATTTTTATCCTTCTGATGAGTTAAGCCTCTTTCAACTGATTTTTATAGTTCGTTCTTATGTTATACTGTTACACCACTGTCCCAGGTTAGGGGGAGGGTTGGGATCCCGCTAACATGTTTAACCCCGCCACATTCTGTATATATGTGCCTGTCCCAAGTCAGGAGCCTGTAATTCAGTGGTTGTCGTTTGTTTATGTGTTACATATTTGTTATTCGTTCATTTTTTGTACATAAATTAGGCCGTGAGTTTTCTCGTTTGAATTGTTTTACATTGTCATTTCAGGGCCTTTTATAGCTGACTGTGCGGTATGGGCTTTGCTCATTTTTGAAGGCCGTACGGTGACCTATATATGTTAATTTCTGTGTCATTTGGTCTCTTGTGGAGAGTTGTCTCATTGGCAATCATACCACATCTTCTTTTTTATATAAACACAGGAAATCGTATTTATAACGTTCTTGTTTGACACTTTAGAAAAAGATGAGCAACACTCTTGTGTAAGCCATGTCAACTACGTTTTTATTTCATATTTTCACTACATTCAAATTTATTTTCGATCCGTTGGAATTGGTTGCATTGTTTGAACTAGTAAATTGGGTATCTGACTAAAAAACAAATAGATACAGTTTTAATGTTTGATTACCTTAGATAATGTCTAGTTCAATTAAGATCAATTTTCACTTATTTACTAATATTATTACTATGAATCGATTGTATGTCCCTGTTATATAGATTTTAAAAACAATTGCTTACAACGAAAATGAAATGGTAAAAGCAACAGAAACATTCACATAAAAACAAAAATACCTTCACATGATGACCCAGAGAAGCCACTTCTACATGAACACTGACAGATTTTGTTCCTCCATTAACACAAGGAAAACAATCACATGAATCAACTGTAAAATTATTTTAAATCTATATAAATCTATATAAAGGTACTAAGGCACAGACAATGATTAAAAATATATCGAGGTTCTCGAGATAACATCTTCAAAGCAGGAAAATAAAATTGAGAATGTGTCAAAGAGACAACAACCCGACCATAGAGCAGACAGCAGCCGAAGGCCATCAATGAGTCTTCAATGCAGCGAGAAACTCCCGCACCCGGAGGCGTCCTTCAGATGGCCCCATAACAAATATGTATACTAGTTCAGTGATAATGGACGTCATACTAAACTACAAATTGTACACAAGAAACTAAAATTAAAAATGATAAAAGACTAACAAAGGCCAGAGGCTCCTGACTTGGGACAGGCGAAAAAATGCGGCGGGGTTAAAAATGAATGTAGAAAAACATATGTATAATCAATTTAAATGTGAAAGAATAATTCTATGATTATCTTTAGACCATCTTATGACATATTTTGTGTTGTCTTAATTTTAAGAGAAATTTAGAATTGATCTAAACTTTTGAGACATGCAAAGAAATCACTAAGGACTTAGACCATCTTATGACCAGTACCTTCGGAAACAAGGGCCAACATTTCAGAAACCAATGTCTTGTAGCTGAGGTCTTTGTGGATTCTTTGTGATACCTCGAGAGCATGAATTCGTAAATCAAATCCGAGATCAGACCTCAAAAAGTGTTTGAAATTGTAAATTAGTGCTTCTATGCTTTGAACTTTTGAACTTAAAGGATAAATAGCAAGCACATGTAGGCTAGAAGTCGAACATACTACCTTCACATGTTTTTCCAGTATATCTTATTGGACAAACACATACGTAGCTGCTATTATCATCATTACAAACCTGTTCGTGCATTTTTCATTGTTATTCAACGCAAAATAGTTATCTAAGATACCTGGGACGATCACATTTTATAAAGGATCTCTTTTGTTTAATCATCGTACCTCAATCTTATTAACCCAGTGTAGGTCTTTAAGTTTAGGTTCTGTTCACTTAAAGTTAATCGGGCATGACTAATTAGACTCGCCCTCTTGGAATCAGGGGGTCCAAAATAGGATCGTGAAAAAAAAGTCAGCGAAATACCATAATTAACAATTTCAGATGATCTTTTGGTTGACTATCTCCAGTCAATAATCAGACGGTATTTGAGTGGAAACACCAGCCTGTCCAAAACCGGGAAATGTTGGCTAGAACAGGAGTTTAGGGGGGCTAATAGCTTAACTTACGATATTGACCATGGTTCAACTTTATTCTAGTACGGCATACGTTTTACCTCTAGCCATCGCTCTATCTTATTAAAGTGTCACTCTAAAATTGTTAACATTTGCTTCAGGTTGATCAGCTTTGCATCTTGTTGTGAATATGAATGACATATTTGCCACTGGAGTTAAGGGAACAATAAAAAAATCAGCTTCATTTAGTGATGTATAATTCATAGTCTTCAGTTGGTAATTGTCTCAAATTTGATTTTTTAAGCGAGGGTTTCAGTAGAAATGACATTTTTGAACTTGCATATACATGGATAGGTTTGAAAACGTCTATGAAAGGTTTGTAAATCGTATCGGTTTTATCTGAAATAACAGAGGTATGGTGGGAACTAAACATTCAGCTGAATACTACATACAACTCAATAAACGATAACTTTAGTTCGGATTTTCAATTGTATTGATTGAGATTGATTTATAATATGGTGTTTGAAGATCCAGAATGGAATCATAATTAAATAGTCTAAGGACTTTTGATGTTTTATGATTTTATGATTTTATTTTAGATTTTTTTTCTCCAATAGCAAGAAGATCTGCAATAAACGTAAATTTTAGCATTTCTTTCCTCGATTTTCACATTTCCATTAAACATTGTATCCTTTCCTGTCAAACTAAGGGGATGGGAGAAGAACAGAAAAAGAAACTTCATTGATTGGAGCGTACAACGATTGCAGTCTCTTCTAGGTGACAAAATTTGCTGTTTCAAGTGTTTTTATTTATCTGGTATAGTTGTCATAAAAGAAAAAAATATGGATAAAAAATGTTTTAAAGGGCAACAATTTATATATTGTCAATCGTGTTTTCAAAAGTCGCACAAAATGTTTAAAATCAGTCATGCGACTTATTTGAAGATTTAGCTGACCTTTGTTGTTGTTGTTTAAAGATTTCAATCATTTAACCTGTGCATAGATCGTATTTTCCCCTCAAAGAGTTTTTCAAATTGTTTTTTAACGTAAAGATAGCGTAAAACTCTCACTACACGAGGCATCGGATATTTCTTTTTTGACCAGATATAGCTACGTTTTATATATCTGCACAGCCAAACGGACGCATCCCTTTAGCAAGGGGTTACTGTCGAACGAGAAAAATCTAGAGATACCAATATTTCTATACCCAAGTCATTCCTTTCGTTTTGAATAAAAGGAGATAAAGTATACATTAATGTGACAGCAAACCAACAAAACAAAACATTAAGAGTCAGTCAACATAAAGTCTTTTGTAACAGAAAAATGCCTATACAGAATAATGAGCTCAAAACCACCCCATGACTGAAAAATACGGAGTTGATTTAATAGTATTTACTGTCAAAGATATCCCAGCAGGCACATTTGATTTAATATTATTTACCACCAAAGATACCCCAACAGGCAGAAGTGTGTGGTTCAAAAATATCACCTGCCTTTTTTTAATTTTGATCAGTGGAAATCAAAGAAGTATAAACCAGTAGAAGAAAAACACTCCACTATATAGTAACGGTAATTAAAAAGTGATGATAATGGATGGCTGCTTAACATCCAGCGGCATATTAAATGCATATTCAGGATGACAACATGTAAATATAATATAAAAATTAACCCTGCTTTGTAATAGACGGATTTTGACGTGTAAGTTCACAAGGTAGCAGTTCGCAGGAAGACAAATCACCCTACCTGGACACATTTCTTAATCCGAGCCTACCAGTCTTTGCTCTTACTCTTATATGCCGCGTGTGTATCGTTGAAACAACAAATACAAATTTTAACGTCTTTGTTTGACCCAGTCGAGGTTCGAACCAACAATACCCCGCTCTTGATGTGAACACGCTCCCACGCTCCAACGATACCAACAAGAAGGTCGGTAGTACAAAATATCATACAAAAAATTTATAGAAAAACAATACAGTTTGAAAGAATGCTTACAGTTACTGAAGCGAGCTAAAAGTATCTAACCTAACGTTAAATGATATTGAAAACTACACGTACACATCGATGGCCGACTTTAGAGTAGATTTCATGGATCAACGCTCACTGCAAATTAAAAAAAACTTGCACCAATTATTTGAGGGGTCCGGATATGGCCAACTGTTGCAAGACTAAATTTCTGTTCTTATCCAATATATCTTTATTTTCCAAGTTTCACATCCAACCTCACTGTCGACCTCATATTGCAAGACCTACCTATTGTATTCAAAATTTATGTGTTCTCGCCATGAACATTTTTTTGTTGTTTTTTTTAATTGTTGTTTTTGCAATTTACCACATGACTGCACACTAATAATTTTTTTTAAATATTATTTACTGTGGTTCTTATTTACTATTCTATCACAATTTGTGATATATTATTATGTCAGGCAATTATAGAACTAAGGGAGGTAATTTTCTTATTTTCTTGGTGTTTATACTTCATTAAGACGTGTACATTCCTACAGATCCTGTATAGACCACATACAAAATGTTTCTTCATTGATGTCTGGTACAATACAGAGTAATAGTACATTGTATACTTTCATAATTTGATTTCTGTGTTATTATCATACAAATATTTGCAGAGGAACTTTAAGCATTTGTCTATATCTTAATCAACATATAACTATCTGATTTTTAAAATAGAAAACATACATATGAAGCATGTTATATTTCCTAGATTTGTTTGCTTAATATCCTTTATAAGCATCATTTAATGAAGGTATTGAACTTAAATTATATCTTATCTACGTATCAAACTAACCGGAGTAAATTTTAATGTGTTTTGATAGGTATTTTTGTTATTTACTTTTTATAGCAGCAAAAAAGAAAAAAAAAAAGAAAAAAAAAGAAAGAAAAAAAAAAGCGAAATTGTGACCCCAGTTCAATTGCGCTGTATAATCCAAGATTTATCGCTGTGGAATCGTTTCATACATTATATTGTTATTATCGAGTACATGCAAAATCAGTATATATGTAAACCTTTTAAAGGTTAAATACAATCACATATAAAATCAATCTTTTTCTCGATCGATAGATAACAATAATGTACAATTTTATTTAAGATCTGTTGTAATAATAACTAAATTGGCTACATGTCGTACTTATTGACAAAACAACAACAGTGACATGTACATCATTGTTAATCAATGACGATCTTTGGATTCTTGTAAACCCAAACATTTTGCACATAATGTAAAATGAATAAATATAAATCACGGTTACAAGGATATTTTCATAGATATGCTTTACAAATGCTCTGTTTTACCATCACAAAAATGATCAATCCTTTCATTTTTTATCATTCATTGACATTGTACATAATTAACGTTCCTTTTTAGTTTAAAGTACTCGTATTTATTTGTTATCGATTCTATGTCAGTCAATCACGTTTATGCTGTTTACACCTTCGTACACAACAATGATTGTTTGGCCGTGCATTTCCCAATGACCGAAAATAATACACAGTGAAAATTTAACTTGCCCATTTTTTCGTCAAATCGACATGTTATTCTACTCGGACTAAGATGCACCTTCAAATGGACCATGGGGTCGTTTGTAAAATAATGGAATTAATACCTCTAAATAAAGAAGTACCTTTAAAAATCTTTTCTGTTTATGCAAAATTGTTGATAACATAATATGTCGATACTATTTCTGTATATTTTACCTTCACAACGTTTGCCAGTATATCCTGTCGGACAAGCACATACATAGCTTTCATTTGCAGGGAAGCATAATCCAGAATTTACACAAGGATCGCTGCTGCATGGTGTCACTAAAAAAACCAGTTCAAAAAGAAAGCATATGTACAAACATAATGTAACTTATTCATTATATGAACCACCATATCATCTAAATGGAAATGTATATATTGGTACCGTTAATGTTGCTGCTATATAATCAGAGATTTATTGAACATGCATATTGAATATTTGACATATAATTAACTTAAGAATGAAAATTGGCAAGCAAAGCTAACATTAATTGTTTTGTTATAAATATGCAAGAACAAAACAAACTTCTGATAATTTTAAAGTTCTTATTCTTTTGTGGGAAATTATAACTCTATTATCTTTTTATATGTTCTATTAAACACCTTCACACAATTTTCCCGAATATCCATCTAAACATTCACAACTAGGGCTGGTTCCTGATATAGAACATCTGGCACCATGAAGACAAGGCTTGCTGGTGCAAGTGGTAACTAGAAAATAATAAAAAAAATGTATATATAAATACTAGTAGGCTTTTGTATATATAAATTGTCTTGGTCAATTTTTGTTTTATCATCTTTTTTACAATTAATAATACGTCAGACTCCTTAAGACAAAGCTTAACATTCAGGTTGCTGCTCTCAAGGAAGCTTTTAAACCTAAAGTTCCAAGTAGTGAAGTTGAAATCATCCTTTCGAAAATGTTATGGACGCCATCAAGATGTCAGTTGACAGTTATGGGATATCTGTTTCAAAAATGAAGAAAGATATATTCCAATCGTTGTAACCACAATCCCGTCCTTCTTTTCCTCGAAAGTGACCTACCGGATTAGGCTTATTTCCGGGATTGTACATTTTAAAATTTTTTTTTATAAGCAACCATACGGATGCCACAGAATCTGCTTACCCTTCCGGATAACCTGAGATCACTCCCCGGTTTTGGTTGGGATCGTGATTCTCAGTCTTTAGTTTCCCATGTTGTGTTTTTTATACTGTTGTTTGTCTTTTGGACTTTTTTTTTCCATGGCGTAGTCAGCCTATTTTTATGACTTATGAATTTGAATGTCCCTTTGGTATCTTTCGCCTCACGTTTATTTTAGTTGAAATTTGTTATTATATTTATGCTCTTTTTGGTGAAATACCTCCCCGTATATTCAATTACTTTTGCATTTATAGGATTTTAAATTTTTGGTTTTAAGTGTTTTCGAGCAGATTATTAAAATAAAATTATTCAGATGAAGCAAATCTTAAAAGTTCTATTTTCATTCAGTTACGTTTATGTGATAGATATAGTAAAACAATGATATTTAACTTTTATGAACTTTCACCAGTACGTTCCACAAACATATAATGGTTAGGGCTTGTTTAGTTCACTTTTTGATTAGTGCATTTTACCATGTATTTTCCAGTATCACAATATTCATAATAATTTATTATATTACGGCATTAACATCGAACAACCCTGGGTAGAGCGGGGTAACAAGTTATAAAAGAAGCTTTTAAAGTATGCCATTTTAAAAGATTTTAGTCATATTGGCCTGTTTTATTCATTTGAAAGGTGTTTGTACTTCTGAACAAAAAATTGGCCACACCCTTTGACCAAAATAAATTTGTTATGCAGTTATGTACATGTATATGGATCAGATACTCATCCTGACAAATATCATGATAGCCCTTGCATTTAGCCAATGTCGTTTGAAGCAACAACGATTAAAATTTAGCCAAAAAGTTAGTAAACATTATGATTTTCGTCTTGAGAGTGCACAATTCTGACGTCATTATGATATCATAAATGTTCTTATGCGCAAGAAATTATTGTTTTGTATGTGACAGATATGTTTACATATTTTGTCTTCAAATGTTTACTATTATCACTGAATTTAAAGTGGGATATTCAACGCCATGAATAGATTACCTGAGTTGTATTTGACAACACCTTTCAGAATTTTGGATCCTCAATGCTTTTCAGCTTTGTACTTTATTTGGCCTTTTTAACGTTTTTGAGTCGAGCGTTACTGGTGAGTGTTTGAAGACGAGACACGCGTCTGGTGTACAAAATTTTAATCCTGGTATCTATGATGTGTTTATTGACCATTCGCGAAGCTACTTTACTTAAAACCATCTGTTCCTAATCAATCAATTATGAACAACTCCATAATGTACAAAAAAAAAAAAAACATTTCGAAACAGATAACTAGATGTATTTGAACGTAATGGGTCATTGTTTTGTTTTGTAAGTGTTACATTTTACCTTCACATAAACTGCCTGAATATCCTTTTTAATCAACTACAATTGAAACTGTTTCCTGTTTTAACACAACTACCATCGTGAAGACAAGTGTTATGAGTGTTGCATACCAAATTATGAGCCTGGTATTTTTTCTATGAATTTGATTAAATCCATGGATTAGACAATTATGGTTCTGTATGTTCTTTAACTTTGTAATTCATTTGTACTCCCAGCTCTGTTGATTCAAGCGCCACTCGAGTATGCTGTGGATTATCTTGAGAAAATTCTCTTACGTGTGCCACATCATTCTGTCAATTTAAGGCTAGTTTGAATACTAAAATTTTAATAAGACGCACATCACTTATGCTTGGCCTTCATTCTAATGCACGTTAAATATTTCACTTTAAACTATTTACGGGGTGGGGGGATCAATATACCGTTATTTATACATCAGACCGTACTGGTTACCGGATCTTTGGATACACCAAACCAGGTACTTCATATTTGAGAAACAGGCAATATATGCCCTCACTTTATAATTCATTTATACATTTTTGTATTCTTCAAATTTATCAGTCAATATGTTTTCTACAAGGATCACCAGTCCTTCACCTTTCATTTGATACTTCAATTACTAAAATATATTCTACATAGTTTGATATTTACACCTATGCGTAGGAACTAATTTGTTTAAATATATACTACTTTCCAGTATCTTCTTTTTTTGTCCGGCCCGATTTGGTGGTGTTACATCTTACAAAGTCTATCCAAATCATTTTGCAAAGTATTCCGCTCAAACCGGTGCTAGAGGCCGTCTCAAAATTGCAGTGAGGTGAGAGTTTTTTGTTGTTCCATTTTGAAGGCCTCACTCTGCTTTCTAGATGAAGAACAGCAATGAAAGCGCTGCCCCCTTGCTCTTTGTGTGATGTTTTGCTGTGAATGTACTCATTTTGTGTCATGAATGTATACCCCATATCCTTTGTTTTTCTACCATTATAAGTAAGTTTACGTCCAAACAACAAAACCGGTTCACAAAATGAGTCACTTAACAGTAAGTAGCCAAAAGTAAAGACTATAAATGCAGTGAAAAACCAATTAGTTATGTTACCTTTGACCCTTTCGCATTTTCAAAATTCATGTTTTCGCCTTTCATATTTGAAAAAGAGAAAATGCGAATATTGTAGTATATAATTGCTGAAATATGTATTACTTTTAATTTCTTAGTACATTCATCAACATTTTATATGTACATTTACTTAAACAATTTTTGTGTATATTTATTGAACTGTTTTGTGTATATTAATTGAAATATTTTGTGCACATTTCTGAAATTGTGTTTGTATCAATTTACTGGAAAATTATAAGTACTTACGTTCATGTTCTTCGCTTTGGTTCCTTTGGGTATTTGACGGTAACAGATGATGACCAAAAGCTAAAAAGTAAGAGAAGACTTTTACTTATATTCTTATTATATGTATCATGCCAATATCAGCGAGCTAAAAACATTAGTGAAAAATGTGATTCAAACTTATCTATAAACACATAAAAAATAAATTTCTTCAGAATAATATGCAGGTAAATAAATCAGCAACAATTGTGTAAGTATCAAAACCTATATATAAATAAATTATCTGTTTTTAAGTTGACAGTATCAGTTTCAGTCAATTGATACTAAAGGTAAAACTACAACAATTTCATTTCCTTTTAATACCTTGATCTTTTCCTCAATATTGACTCAGATGGACGAATTCACACTAAAATATATGACAAACGGGATGATTTCAACTTCCCAATTATTAATTTCCCATTTCTCTGCAGAAACATACCCTCTGCTCCGTCGTATGGTGTGTACATATCTGAATTGATACGTTATGCTCGTGCATATTCACACTATACTGACTTCATATATAGGAGTGTGATCCTTACGCAGAAACTGCTCCAACAGAGTTATGAGGAGGAAAGATTAAAAATGACACTCCGTAAATTTTATGGACACCATCACGAATTGGTTGATCCATACGATGTGTCTGTGTCTAAAATAACTAATGACATTTTTACCACGTCTTAGATTGTGGTTTCACATCTATGTTGTCTGTCTGCTAAGTACCGAACGTGACCTATCCCGAATATGACGGTTATACCGTGAGTGAATAATTTTACATTGCTATACGACGTGTCCCGGTATTATGTACATCCATCATTCATGTATTTATTTTTGATATTTTTGTTATGATTTCTGTTGTATCATATGTTATGTCGTATCGTTTGTTGTCCAAATAATTATAAAATTGCCTTTCAATACCATCATTGTCATATTCCCGAATATGACTGTTATACTGTTAGTTTTCATTACTGTGCGGCGTGTCTCGGTGTTTTGTACATCCAACATTAATGGATTTATTTTGATGTTTCTGTTATGGTTTCGGTTGGATAATCTGTTATGTCTTATCGTTGTGTAGTCCAAATAATTATAAAATTGCCTTTCCATACCATCATTGTCATGAAAATTGTTTGGACGAGTATTGTGAAAATAATTGTATAAAGTTCGAGATTGCATGTTAGTTACGTAAGCGCGTCACTGTTTTTGATATCCTGTGGTGTTTTCGTTGATGGAATATGTTCGTTGTTGTTCTGTGGTTTGCATGTTGTGTCGACTATTATATCATTTCTTTGTGCGTTTCTCTGTTATGAATGTTCTTTCATGTGTTTGTGCTGTATTTATGTCACGTAGTGTTCTAGCGATATTTTTTAACATTGTCATAAAGCGGGAGGTTTGGCATGCCATGAAATCAGGTTCAACCCACCATTTTTCTTAAAATGTCCTGTACCAAGTCAGGAATTTGGCAGTTGTTATCAAAAAGTTCGTTTCTATGTGTTTGCGTTTGTTTTTGTTGCACTTCGGTGTTCCTGTTGGTCCTTTGTTTTCCTCTAATAGTTGATGTGTTTCCCTCGGTTTTGGTTTGAAACCCGGATTTGTTTTCTCTCAATCGATTTATGACTTGTGAACACCTGTATACTACTGTTGTCTTTATTTAATGTTTAGTTATATTGAATTAAAAGTGTTCCCGTCGATTTATAACATTAATTAAATTAAAGCCAGAAAGATAAATATTGCCAATATTAGAGACAGCACCAAGAAGCCTAATGTGGTTAGGAAAAACACGAACGTACAACATCGGAATTTTCTAATTTCTCGCTTCAATGATTTGACAACGTAGAATTGATTATTATGTTAATGTACCGTGTCCATGTCACCAGTACAACATCTGTCATTATCTCCTTGGCCGTATACGGGATTTTCAAAGAACTGACCAAGTTCGTGTTCGTGCTTGCTTCTTCCGCTCTTTTTCTCATTTTCATTACCAGATTTTGAGTTACTTTCTGCAGATGTTATATCATCACAAATTACTGTTGGAAAGACGGTGATGTATTCGTTTTCATTATTAATATTAGTTCCATCCATTTTGTTGCTAAATGAATACAGAACACCATGCAAGTGATGAGTGTTAGTTTGCACCAACTGTTCATTAGTTGCAAGTCCTTTTTGAATAAACAGCAAATGACATTAAAACCGTTCATATATGATACAAAGGTCAAGTTTGAAAATTACGGAAATTTGATTCTTGTCTTTCTTACTTATAATATGTTTGTATGTGATTTTAAGTAGCAGGAAATATAATAGATTTTACTTTTTAATGATAACCATGCACTCCCGATTTCAATTTCTTATTCCGTAACTTATCTTGATTTTTTTATTGTTTTGGGATTCAATTCTAATTCTCTCAAAATCACTCATTTCTCTAATAATGATTTTATCATTAATTTCAATATTAATATATTAAGATTGGAAAAGAAGGGATAAGGTATATCAACTCGTGTCATAAAATCTTCACTTGCACTTGAAAAAACTCAAAGCGCTTTATTACTGTTTTTTCTTCAATTACACGTTTCATCGTTTCATTGATACTTACAATACAGAACAAAAGCTCATATCAAAGGACAGTTCAGGATACAGATATTCCATAACAAAGAACTCATGATTGCATCCGTTAAACTTTCCTTAGGATTATCTGTTTGGTACTATAGCTCTTCAACTGTTTAGGTGCTTATACATCCTTGGCTTTCAAATATTCGGCTATGAGCGTTCCTGATGAAGGCAAGTCAAGAAAATCGCTTCGGGCGCATAAAATTTATAACGTGTTGTTTTCATTTTTTTCATCTTTTCCAATTAAAATCCTTGGATCAATAGGTTTCTTGTAAGCAATTTTCTTCTATCATGGAAATCATGATAAGAAACGCAATGTCTTGAATATCGTATCAACTGGAAGGTATAAATTCCATAAGCAGGCGCTACCTAAATAGAAAGTTCACAATTTTAAAGCTGAAATCCTCCTTTGGTCTTAATGTTTTGTTCTTAACAAACCCTCATTGTCCATTTCTATCGTTATTTTCATTTTTATAGCCCTGAGTGAATACCACTTATGGTGTACTATAATTCCCCGAGGGTATCATCACCTCAGTAGATAGTGCCTCCGTAATGACATGATGTATACATGTAACAATATTTTCTGAAATTTTCTGAAATGATCAATAAATTATAGTTTCAACTCCCTCGGGTAAAGTCAACCGTAGATGAATTTAGCTATTTAATTTAGGTCCCTTTTGGTCATATAGCTCTTCCCTTGATTTGGTTCTTGTATATTAAAATAAGGAGATATGATAAGATTGCCAATGTTACAACTATCCAACAAAGTTCAAATGAAGTGGATGTAAGCAACCATAGGCAAACGTACGGCTTACAATAATGAGAAAAACCCATACTGCATAGTCGGTTATAAAACATCCTTTCAAATATTTGACTTTGAGTATTCCAGATGTAGGTAAATCACTAAGGACTCATACGTTTACAAAGTGTTATTTCTATTTTTTTTTCTAGATGTAAGTCTTGATATTACGCAGACTTAAGTGCATGTGTGATATTCCATATTTCAAGTTCAAGAGGATATAGATGTGTCCAACATACAATTGGGATAAATTATAACCTCTCTTAAACTCTGAGAATAATCTGTTATATAACTGTTCTAAATAGTTCAAGGAGAATTCTACCTAAACATTTTCTAGGATAAAAATGCCAGAACCAGTTTTTGGGTAGAGCTTTCCAAATCTGTTTTAAAGTAAAACTGTCAGGATCAGTTCTAGGAAATAACTGTCTAAATGTGTCTAAGGATAAAATGGTCAGATTCTGATCTAAGGTAGAATGATAGGAATCTGTTCTATGTTAGAACAGTGATAATTAGAACAGCTCATCGATCGTGATTTAGAGAGGTGGAAGGTCGCTGTATTTTCCCTGTTAGTCATATTTTAGATTAAAAGGAAAAGAAGGAAAAAGAATTACCGTCTAGGATGTAAGTTCTAGTTCTGAAATAGATTTTCATTAAAAATATTGTATGTGTGTGCTAATGCTTTAGAAGTGAGGCATTATACATAATATTTCTATAATTTAACCACAAAAATATGTTGTTTTTGTTTTTTTAAATCCAACCTACCGGTGGAACACTTAAAGGTGTCTACTATAGACAAGCTATTTTGATAACACAGTGATCATCTTATTTTCTCGGAGTCAGAGTCGTATTGTACCCCACTTTGCCTGACATAATAGATTCTCAAGAAATAATACATATATAGTTTAGTAATATCAAGTAAATGATAATATTTATAAGGGTTCATCAAGCTAAAAATACGAAAAAATAAAATTGATAATTTATAACATGAACAAAACAAACTGACAATACAAGAACGCAAAACGTAAGCAGATCATATTCTGCATGAGTCACCTGTTGTGTTGCCTATGGTTATATACAAGCCTGGTGATCAGTCTTATTCGATAGTTCACATTTTAGGGAACAAGGACTTGTTTGTGGTTACGGCAAGTGGAACATATCTGCTGCCATCTGTGGAACAGATATTCAATAACGGCCAAACAACTCGTGATGGGGAATTAATAATTAATCATGAAATGAAAAAGGAAACACAAAAAATAAGATAATAAATAAATGAAATAAGAAACGAGATAAATATATCTTAATAAGATAAATTCAATTATTTAATTAAATGTAGGAAACAAATATTTATATACATATATTGAGCTGCCTGAATTTACAAGAGAAAGAACTATCGTAATGTGCGATAGGGTGAAAGCTGTCAGAAATTGTTCCAGTGTAGAACTGTCCAAACTTGATCTAGATTAAGTCAGTTTAAGATGATTTGTTTTTGGAATAAGAGTGATTTTACAAAGTATAATTTGTCCCTTCCTAAACGAGATAGCTATTTGTACATTATCTATTCTTTTTAATGAAGTGATTAATTCAAATAGTCTTTCTTTACTCTTAAATTGGAAATACTAATGTAAAAAGTAAGAAAGTCAAAAAATTTTAAAACTTTCGGAAGAGGAAAGAAACTTTTAGTTATGTAAATGATAATCTAACATATCATTGAAATTGTTTAGTATCTACATTTGATTCACCTTGCCCCTACAGTAGGTGTCTTCAGAGTAAATCCGCCAAAGACAAAAAAATATTGATGTACACAAACTGTCTTGAAAATCTTTAAATTCATAAGTTTGACAGGTCATATTCGAACAACAATAATTTTCGCCAGCTTTCAATTCATAATACTTTGACTGAAACAGACAAAGATCATTATCCTTGGCCTTTGAACAGTTATGTCAAAAGTTTATTCATGGCTCTTCAATTACAAGTGTGAAATCGTCTGTTTCAAGTATGTTTTCTTACGTACTGTCTACTTGACATGATGATTTATTTGTATCTTTCTGAATAACATGAAAATAATACTATTTTTATAAATCAAGATGAGTTTCAGAGAGGTAGTGGGGAAGACGTCAAACATGAGTACAAAATAAATAAACAGAATAGTACATGTTTAAAGTTAAAGCAATACCAACCTCTCATAAACTTTTTCTGAAAAATGTCTTAATATGACTTACATGTCATCTTTTGCACATACTCGTACCTGTTTTCAAGTACTGAAATATCACTTTTACAAAACAGTCAATAATCCTACATTTATGAATTTGAAACAGAAAAGGGGGCGATTACACTATATTTGATAGGGGAGTCGTTTGATATGCTGATAACGTAAAAAAATGTTCAGCTGTTGCGATGGACGACAGGAAAATGCTTTGTAGGGAAAAAATGCATCGATATGTATCTTATTTTTCAAAAACAAATAATATTCAGCATGTATGTTTTGAAGCTGCTATCATATATATTCAGAGTACTTATTTTTGCTTGCTGTCAGCTATTGCTACGGGTATGGCCTGTCCTAATCAAATAATTGGCTGAAATGTGATGTAAATGTCGATAAAAGATGCCTTAATTATTATTGGCTTTAAACAAGCTCAGATCTGCACTTTGTGTCTTTTTTGTTGTGAGGGATGCATAAATACCCTGCCACGTCCGGTCTGTATTTTTTTTAAAGATGTTTTCTGCTTTTTATCGATCTGATGAATTTCAAAGGTGTTGTTTTTTGTTTTACTGTTACACCACTGTCCCAGGTTAGGGAAGGGTTGTCACCTTCAAAAATGTTTAACCCCGCCACATTCTGTATGTGGCTGTCCCGAGCAAGGAGTCTATAATTCAATGGTAGTCGTTGGTTCATGTTTGTCGTATTTGTTTTTCGTAATTTTTTGTTATAAATCAGGCCGTTGGTTTTTCTCAGTTGTATTGTTTCATATTTTTCATGTCGGGACCTTTTATAGTCGACTATACGGTAAGAGGTTTTCTCATTATTGAAGGCCGTACGGTTGCCTATAATTGCTTCCATCTAATTCAATTGAGTTTTGGTGGATTGTTATCTCATTGACAATCATCCCACACCTCCTCATTTTATGTTAAACATGAGTATCCACACCTTAACATCTAAAGATAATCATACCATTACAAACATTGAGAAAATTTCCCACAGTTTATTATATTAGAATCATTTGCATCATGCTATTGATTGATTGTTGTTTGTTTAAAGTACAATGATAAATATTTCATGCATATTTCAAACGAGGTAGATTTTACAATAATTCAAATAGGCAGGATATTTTAAAAAGTTCCACCATACTGGAAGGACAGAAAATTAAGACTTTCATTTCAAAGAAATATTCAATTCACTTATCCTGAGTTAAGTTATCGTTAAGTAACAAATTGTCTTTTTTTCAAATGCAATATTTACAAAATGTATAAATCAGTTGCAAAGTAATATTGAAATAAATATCATTGTAGCTTTAGGAAGAACGTCAGGATATTTATCAGAACGTTTTGGATAGTATTTTTTCAAATATTGATTTCAATATTTCTAATTATATACGGTATTACTACGATTTATTCAAAGTAATTTGTATAACTGTTTATGTGTACGTAAAACTGGTTTAACCCAACCATAAAGTGTGCATGTTCAATGTCAGGCTGTCTGAATATTTTACATAAGTAACCAACCTAGTAATCTTGGCCGTGCGTCTTTTTTTGTTGTTTGGTGACACACTTTGACTGTGACGTATGAAGGAAGATCAATATTAAGCAAGATTTTGCAGATGTTTTTTGTTTTGTGAAAGAACATTTTGTGGCTGAATTTTTATAGCGCACAAATGTCGTCAATGAAAAACACAAAATCCGAGTTCCGTTTTAAAACATTATCTTGGCACCTGTGATGCATGAATAAGTCAAATAGTCAAGACTATGACATAATTTTGTAATTTTAACGCATGTAATCTTATTTAAAGCAAAATTATCTATTAAAAAGGCATATTTTAAAGCATACGTTTTTTTGTTAGGGTTCATTGGATTCTTAAAATCAGAAATCGATATAAATATACAAGGGCCAAATCGTACTTCTCTCTCGAATACAAGACTTACAATAGAAAGAATATTCGATTGTCATATGACCTTTGCTGCTAGGTGTGAGCTGAATATATGTATTATATTGTTCAGTATAAAAATAAGAAGATGTGGTATGATTGCCAATGAGGTAATCCTCCACCGGAGATCAAATGACATAGAATTTAACAACTTCAAGATCATTAGGCACTCAACAATTGTCAAGAAGAAAAAAGACCAATATAAAAGTCCTTTCATATAACTTTTATCTTGTTTTGAACGTTTCATATAGATATAAAAATGAGGAGTTGAGGTATGATTGCCATTGAGACAACTATCTACTAAAGTTGAAATAAATTTATGTAAGCAATTATAAGCAACCGTACGGCCTTCACCAATGAGAATATACTCACTTGCATTATTTTTTCTTTTCGAAAATGAAATGTTCTTTCTCAAAATAAGTTACTTGATGTTTGAACTTAAAAACATTTAGTGTTGAAAAAAGCAAAGTGTGTGTGGTCATCTCAAAATATAAATTTCTAGTAAATTATATA